AACGTGAATGCATCCTAGCTTACAAAATGTTGTATCTTTACGATGGKAAAACATTAACTACTTGATTTTTTCTATATGATATTTACTAGCAATGGCCAATCTGGCACTTTGGTACACTTTCAAGTCTAACTGYTAATGATATTTTTTTTCCATAGTTCAAACATTTCCAAAATTTGCTCAAGCAACATGAACGGCATTCAAATCTTCAAAATGAAATGATGCTTCCAATATGCTTCTTCCAACACAGGGAGAAGTTACAGACCTTAAGGTGTTAGGGATAGTCCATTAGATCTTTCAAGGGTAGATTGCAGGAATTTATTTYGTACGGTATTTAATTATTTAGCAAATTTTGGCGTTTGCTCGATATTTCTTTACTGGAAAGAAGTGCTTGCTCGATATAACCCCTCTTCAATTATTTAATAGTCTGTCGCTTACTAGATGATAACTATCGATTATTGAACCACATGCAATAACAATATGTAGACAGGTAATACATGAATATCTACATGATATTTATTGGTATTTTTGAATGGTAGTTATGAGACTATATATAGTAATATYAAATTCACTTGAACCTTAGTTCGAACTCCTTATTCTCAAACAACGAGCTTACATAATGTAATCCAAAGGTCTCCAAACCTCAAAGGACAGAAGAATAATGATCACAGATGAAAAAAGCATGGTAAAATCAAATAAACTGCGAAGTTTGAAGGATGTAAGTTTAAAAATCGCGAATATATGAATGTTTCAAAAATTGAAAACATTTGTTGGTAGACAAAGAGGTGGTTTTATTATCAAATTCACATTTTTCGAAACAATCCTATCTTCTCGAGTTTTGAACCTATTTCTCTCAAACTTCATAATTTTACTCATTTTAACTTGCCCTTTCTAGCTATGCAATTATTATTATTATTTTTTATTTTGACTAATTTAAGATTATCTGTTAAAAGCTCATTCATTAACTGTCATGGATACATTATATCAAGACGAGATAACCTTATATTATGTTCAATATCTACTTCAAACAAGTAAATATAGCAAAGGCCTTTCCCAGTTCGATAAACGTAATGCATTTTGGTCTAGCTTGGGGACAAACGACACTATACAAGATATGATAAAACAAGCTTTCTTGTACCAAAGCTAGACCAAAATGCTTCATGTCTGTCGAAGATTCTAGGCATTGATTCACTATCTTCATGCTATAATKKCTGACCAAGAGAGGCWTTRCACCATCACGCGATGGCAGCCWTGACAMGAGGCAGGAAAAATTGAAYCTARTCTAATCTGWTTAATATGAGAAAGAATTCAGTTTTTCCAGGGGAAAATATTGTTTTGCAGTGCCTCCTGTCATGGGYGCCATCGAGTGACAGTGCRAAGCTGACGTTCTTTAATAACTGATTATTTTCAAGCTCTAGTTACTATACCAACTAGATGTTTAGTTTGAAATCCTGTGTGCCAATACAGCTAGTATTTCCAACTGTGATTGGCATTAATTTATAAAAATGATTATAATTAATGATACTCTTTGCAAAAAACTATATACATTGTATTATTTGAAAGCCAAGAAATAAAATAAATTTTCTTTCTTTTAAAACCAAAACATATATGTTAATCAATAAATGTATTTAAGCAGTACAAACGTAATTCCTTTCATATATATATAAAATGTGCTTATGTACAGAATTTGAAATATTGTATTGATAATATTAGTAAGAATATGGTTAAACATATGGAGATAAAAACTCGTTTATAAATATCAGAAAATTAGTCAAATAGACCATTTCACGGATCCCGTTACTCAACCTCAGCTTCGTCAGCGTGTAATKATTYTTTAGAATTTGACTACAGTCCGCAGTAATGAAAGGAATTTACACATCAACGAACAATTGAAACACTTARAAATTTCACAGGTTGTAGGCAATTTCTAAAGAATATATTACACGCTGACGAGGYTGAGGTTGAGTAACGGGATCCGTGAAATGGCCTATTAGTCATCGCTATGAAATAGGTTTTGACCAACGTCAATCAAGGCGTTTCTATGGCGATATAAAAGCACGTGGACTTGAAACCTTTGTATTTT